GATCTGACGTCCCAGTATCACAATCGTATGTGTCAATGGCCACGCTTCACCGCGTGCCACGCCCTGTTCAAGGTTCTATTAATTGGAGGCGGCAAATTGGGGAAAAGAAAACATCGCTGCCCAATGACCTCTGGGCGGCGGTTACAGAACTGACGTTCATGACGTTCACATCCAACCATTTTACGTTCAGTGTAGCGGGAACTACAGATTTGACCCGATACTGATCGGATGGTCGGTGGGACCGTCTCTTGTCTTGTCTCTTCCGTCTCTTCGAAATCACTGACATATCGCTACAGGCGTCGACGTAGAAACTGGCGGGGGACGGGGGTCATGACCTCTAACATTAATACGCATAACACGCTGCAAACCAGGGGTCTTCCTTCGAACCAGGGTCCTTCAATCGGTCTTGGCCTAGCAAAAATAGTCACGTGTTAACCCGCGCCCCGTAGGGCTACCGGCGGACCCTACCACCCGTAGGGGGGGGGCGTTTCGGCCCCCCTAAGATCTCGGAAAGTTACCGTCCGATTTTCAAAATTTAAACGGCGTTCGATACCCCACCAGGGAACTACCTTGTGACCAAATTTCATTGACCTAGGTCAAACCGATGACGTCACAGGTCAGGTCAAAGGTCAGATTTTCACCGATCACAGGCATTTCAAGAAATGTGTTGTGAAATCGAGTAAATTGGTAATTTATTGATAACCATCGACGGTACATTGTTCGTCAAACACATACTTTGCTATCTGAGGTCACTGATACCAGGTCAGGTCACAGCGAGGTCAGGTCACCGGGGTCACAATATGAAAGTGTCGTGTGATACATGTTTAATGGTCCATTTTACATGACAAATGCGATTATGTGGGTTAGGCAGCCTTTGGGGCCAGCCTAGGTCACGTTTTGGTGAAGGTCAGGTCAAGGTCAGGTCAAATTAGGTCAAATTTCAAAGTTGATATTTTTGCATAAAATGGGTATCGATTCGATGCAGCTCGTCACGGGGAGTCTAATGGTGGTCTTTATTTTGCTCTACGAGGTCTAGAATTGCCAAAAATTGAGTTTGAAAATTTGACGTCATCATTTTTGAACAGTTTTTTCGCTATAACTTGGCCAAAAAACGAGGTATCGATCTGAAATTTGGTATGTAGATAGAAGACGGTAGGTACCATCACATATATTCCGATTTTTCGAAATTAAAAAAAAAAATTGGATTTTTTGGCTAATATATCCAAAAAAATGCTTTTTTGATTTTTAGGGGTCAAAACTCCAAAATTTCAAAAACCCGAGATAGCAGTTTTGTAACCCTGTCAATTCTACACCTTTTATGTTTTGATCATTTTTCTGTATCTTCAAAGCTGTAGGCGTGACAGGTCTTCTCGCGAAGGTCTTTTTTCGGTCGAAAATGACAGAACATGACGTCACTCTGACGTCATTTGTGGCCAACCTATCCTAGCCTCTGGAAAAATTTTTGGTCACAATGTGTAAAATTGATGCTCGGAAGGGTCCTGAAAGTTTGGTGGCGATATCTCCAGCCGTTTAGGAGATATCGACCGCAAAGGACAGGGGGGGGCCGTTTCGCCCCCCCCCCCTACGGGGCGCGGGTTAACCTCTCTCTACTTAGAAAGGCGCTAATTGATGTTTGGCCAGGGTAATAGGTTGATACTACTGATTGACATTTGCAAGGGCGCAGTCAAGTTGGGACCTCCCCCGCCCTTTACCGCCAAGGTTACCTACGTATATTTTTTAGCTAATTTATTTTTTTTGGCAACCTAACAATTTAAGTGGCCAGAATCCGGGGAGAGAGTAGGATTTGGGGGTAGGTAAGGTTCTGCAGGTGCCATCCTAACAAAAACCTTATGGCATTGGGCCCCCTTTCAGATGCCCCTGGATCCGCCCTTGCCCCGAACTTAATTCCCCCTCTCGACTTTTCTTATAAAAGTAACCCTAGACTTGACCCTTCCTTATACTGAATGTATGTATCTCAGGCTGTTAAATCTCCTAAGCGTTTTTTCTCGACATCGTTAAGGTGTCATTAATAAAAATGTGAAATCCGGGAGGAGAAATTAAATATAGAAATTGTGGCCAACAGAACATTATCAGTTGCGTGCCCCCCCATAGGGTTTTTTTCGCGATAGCTCCGAACACGCTGGCGATAGAGAGCTGAAACTTGGCATACCTGACCTTTGATCCAAGCCGGATGTTTTGACACCAACCGCATTTTTAAGTCAGGTCAGGTCACTGACCTATGACGTCATAAGTGAACCTCTGCACGGTCTTCAGATGTCGCAACTTCGCAACGCCCTCACTGCCAGAGGAGATGTCACAGGAAAATGAAACTTGCAGGATCTAGTATCCATTATGAGTCCCACAACTTGTATATCTCGGATTTTTCCTAAAGGTCATATGAGGTCAGGTCATTTTCGTGACCTCACCATTATAAGTCAATGGGGAAAAATTAAAACTGCTATTCTGGCGCCGGGAACGATCTCCAACTATCTCAAGCACACAGAATCGTGATTTGATGCACTCCTTGCAAGGTTAGATGCGTCACTTTTGCAATGTTGACCTTGCGTGACGTCATTTATGACGTCATCAAGGTCATATTAGTTTTTCGTCAATAACTCTTGATCAAATTGAGCTAGCGAGTCGGGAAAGCCACCAATGGACTCAGGAAGACCTGCCGAATCGAATGATATGCGACATGACCTCTTTCGACCAACTTCGTGACCTGGGGGTGCTGACCTGACCTTGACCTGAGGTCAACACCCCAAGTTGACCTGACCCGGACAAAAAGTATATCATTCGACGCGCCTGAGCGAGACGAACACGATGCTGCCAAAATCGGCGCTCTGCGGCCGTTTTTGCGAAGTTATTCACCAAAAACTGAACCGTACCTTGGGGCACTTGACCTGACCTCAGAGGTCACCGGTTGACCTAGGACCTTAAAATAGGGTACCAATCTCTGCGTCTCGTAACGGCGCACACGCTCGTTTTTTCCGCGACGCGCTAGCTCCACCAGGGGCGAAACGGTGAGGGGGGTCTTACCCGCCCCCCCCCCCCCCTCGGCCGGCGCGTATGTAGAAAACCAATAGGTCTGGCGAGGGATAAAGATCAACTTTTGATTCATTCGAAGCGTTTTGATAAGAGGAACACGAGGCTGGTAAAATTAATTTCATGTGCAAGTTTAGCTTAAAACTTTTAGTGTTTGTCGAAAAGCAATTGGTTTTCTCATAATACCGATGGTGGCAGACGGTAGTTGCTGTTATTTACGTGCTAAGCCGTTGACCTTAATTTAATCTGACAATATTATTCAGACATAGCGGTAAGCGAGCTGCTTGTTGTGTTAGGTTAGGCTCTTTCGGTCGATTTCAGAGTGGGAAGGATGACAGGAATTAGGGGGAGACAGGGGGCTTGGGCGGGAGTTCTGGGCCTCATGCTCCGCTGGGGCCGAGCCCATCACGTGGGTTGGATTGCCCTGACACATGGATAGCCCTGGGTGATGTTTCACGGCCCCGCGCTGCAGCACGCTGCGCTGCGCTGCCATGCATTGTTGCGGCGGTTGATATGAATTCGGCTCCACGCTAGCGTTACGAGCTTCCGAGTCTGTTGATGTTTCCATGGAAATTAGAAACCCAATGCACCGGTGCGCGCAGCGCACCCTGTCCAAGCAAAATTTTACCATCGATGACCTCTGGCGACATGATCTTTTGCTCTGACCCGATCTAAAATTGGCTGAAGCATTTTTTTCTGCTTTTTGCTACTTTTGACGCTACTTCGAATACCACTTAACCCGCGCCCTGCTGGGGGTCCTGGATTTCCACGCCCTGCTGGGGGGGGGGGGTGTTTGAACACCCCCCCTTGTAACTCGGCTCCTGGGCCACGTAGCGATACGCGGAAGGCGGCGTTCGAAAGAGCGTCAAAAATAATGACGAAATCACTTCGGTCAATTTTTTGGTCAGGTCAAAGGTCAGGTCACCAGAGGTCATTGAAGGCAAAATTTCGTCGATTTCCAGGTCGAATGTCGAAAATTTCCAAGAAGCCAACGCATAACTCGGGAACCAATAGAGCTACAGCGCCGCGGAAAAGCGCATTCGATAGCCCTTTTAACGCCCTTTCTGAGTAATTCTCTCAGATTTGACCTAACGTCAACGGTTTTGCCTGCAGGGGGCAAAAACTGCAAAAATAGGCGATTTTTTCGGAAACAGTTTTTCTGCAATAACTTTTGACCCAAGCCTTGTACGAGCATATTTTTACCGGCATCGTGTTCCTCTCGTCAAGACGCATCGAATGAACTATGACTTGACCTTGAAAGGTCAACTTGAAAATTTGACCTCAGGTCAAGGTCATGACCTGACCGGAAAGGGTCATGTTGCATATCAGTCGATCCGTATCGTCGAGCTGAACACATCTAAGGCGTTTTCAGCGCTCTAGCATGCCTCTATCAAAAGTTATTTGCGAAAAACTGTTAGATACCATTCGTGACCTAAGATGACCTCAGGGCATAAACAAGGGTCACGGACACCATTTTCAAGTTCGGTGTGTCTAAACCACTTGTAATTCGGTGTTTGGGAGTGTTTATAATGTCTTTCATCCAAAAGAGGCGCATTTCAATTTTCTCCCATTGACTTATAATGGGGAGGTCGCATAATTGACCTGACCTTAGGTCATCGATATCAAAATTCTGAGATATACATTTTGTACATGCTATTGCTCTTAGCAATCGCTGAAAGTTTCAAAGCGATCGGTCACTCGGTGTAGCTATGACAGACATTGAAAGTTTTTATGAGGTGAGGTCACTTCAAGTGACCTGGTGACCTGACCTTGAATGAACTTGGTCTGAAATTTTCACAACATGTGTAGAATTGATGTATGATAAGGTGTACCAAAATTCGGCGGCGCTCCGCGCCGCCGTTTTTTAGATATTCGCGAAAAACCACAAGGGGGGGTGTTCAAACACCCCCCCCCCAGCAGGGCGCGGGTTAAATGCCCAAAGCTGAGTTATAAGAATGATGTTCAATCCCCAGTTCCCCTCCAACAGGGCGTGAGAGTCTAGGCATTCCTGTGGGGCACGGGCTAACAATGACTATCTCAAAATCATTGTGGCCATGAACATCCACTGCCATTCTTTAACACCGGTTTCGCTGCGCTGAGCGGTGGCCGTCCCGTTTGTTGGATTCTACGGCTGGCTGGCGGAAAGCGTTACCGGCCGCCCGTCCACCACCCGCGGGCCGGACCGAGCGGTCCCGCTGACCCTACCTGACCTGAGCCCGGCGCGATATGGGACGGGCAGACGGGGGTTCGGCTCAGCGAATGCAGCGCCCACTGGTGCTGGGGACTTTTTTAATAGACCTACTGTACACTCAGACCAGACCCAGACCAGACCCAGACCAGACCCAGACCAGACCCACACCATACTCAGACCAGTTCTAGTAGACGGGATCAATGAATGCCACCACGTATTGTCTGCATGTGTACACTGTTACAATGCATTGTGCTTAGAGCCTTGGTATGTATTGTCATGCTAACGAGTACACAGACCAATAGTAGATAGCACTATATCTATTAGCTGGCACATCGGGGCCGGACCCTCACCAGGACCGGACCGGACCTGACTTGAACTGACCCTGTGGAGACCGGACCCGTCCCCTCCAGACGGCCGGTCGGCCGGCTGGTGTCGCTGACCGGCCTGTGTCCTGTTCTGTCGCAGGCTGGTGGTCACCTGTCGGAAACTGAAGGCGCTGCTCTGCTGCGCAACGGATAAGCTCAGTCAGGCGGTCCTGGACGCCCTGGTCCGGGCAGACCTGGGGAAAAGAGATGACGGCAAGCCGAGAACACTGAGGTTCAAAACACTAGCTGATACCTGTGGTAGGTTAGCCAGTACCTATATAGTAAGATGACGTAAGATATATAGTAAGATGACGTCACTCGTATTTAGGTAGCTAATTGGTATGGCTTGAGCTCTGACAAGGTGTGTGGTATGAATTGATGGTATGGACATGTTCACTGTACTGTGGTCTTCACTGTTTATTTGTGCAACTCTGTGTACAAGGTATTAGCGTGCAAGTGTGTGATTGCAACTGCCCGATATTCATTTGAATTCATGTTACCGGGACGTTACCACATACTCAGTTCACGTACTGCCGTTGTTACATGTCTTTGGTGCTGAATTAGGCTTGCATAGATAGATACTATCATTGGCGGATCCAGAAAGGCAACCTTGGACGCTGCGGGTGGGGCATAGCCCCAACAAAAATTCTCCAAATTCCAAAAACTCATCGAATTTCGGTTCCTTAGGCACTGCTACGCAGTTTAACCCGCGAGTTGCTGGGGGGGGGGGGGTTAACCCTCGCCGGACCTATTGGTTTTCTACATACGCGCCGGCCGAGGGGGGGGGGGGTACGACCCCCCCTCGCCGTTTCGCCCCTGGTGGAGCTAGCGCGTCGCGGAAAAAACGAGCGTGTGCGCCGTTACGAGACGCAGAGATTGGTACCCGATTTTAAGGTCCTAGGTCAACCGGTGACCTCTGAGGTCAGGTCAAGTGCCCCAAGGTACGGATCAGTTTTTGGTGAATAACTTCGCAAAAAACGGCCGCAGAGCGCCGATTTTGGCAGCATCGTGTTCGTCTCGCTCAGGCGCGTCGAATGATATACTTTTTGTCCGGGTCAGGTCAACTTGGGGTGTTGACCTCAGGTCAAGGTCAGGTCAGCACCCCCAGGTCACGAAGTTGGTCGAAAGAGGTCATGTCGCATATCATTCGATTCGGCAGGTCTTCCTGAGTCCATTGGTGGCTTTCCCGACTCGCTAGCTCAATTTGATCAAGAGTTATTGACGAAAAACTAATATGACCTTGATGACGTCATAAATGACGTCACGCAAGGTCAACATTGCAAAAGTGACGCATCTAACCTTGCAAGGGGTGCATCAAATCACGATTCTGTGTGCTTGAGATAGTTGGAGATCGTTCCCGGCGCCAGAATAGCAGTTTGAATTTTTCCCCATTGACTTATAATGGTGAGGTCACGAAAAAGACCTGACCTCATATGACCTTTAGGAAAAATCCGAGATATACAAGTTGTGGGACTCGTAATGGATACTAGATCCTGCAAGTTTCATTTCCCTGTGACATCTCCTCTGGCAGTGAGGGCGTTGCGAAGTTGCGACATCTGAAGACCGTGCAGAGGTTCACTTATGACGTCATAGGTCAGTGACCTGACCTGACCCAAAAATGCGGTTGGTGTCAAAAGATCCGGCTTGGATCAAAGGTCAGGTATGCCAAGTTTCAGCCCTCTATCGCCAGCGTGTTCGGAGCTATCGCGAAAAAACCCTATGGGGGGGGCGGCACCCGCCCCCCCCCCCCTCGGCCGGCGAGGGTTAAACGCCCCACTTTTATCGCCGCGCTATAGCGTAAAAACGGCACGCCGCAGGCGCGCCAAAATTTAACCCTCGCCGGCCGAGGGGGGGGGGCGGGTGCCGCCCCCCATAGGGTTTTTTCGCGATAGCTCCGAACACGCTGGCGATAGAGAGCTGAAACTTGGCATACCTGACTTTTGATCCAAGCCGCATCTTTTGACACCAGCCGCATTTTTGGGTCAGGTCAGGTTACTGACCTATGACGTCATAAGTGAACCTCTGCACGGTCTTCAGATGTCGCAACTTCGCAACGCCTTCACTGCCAGAGGAGATGTCACAGGGAAATGAAACTTGCAGGATCTAGTATCCATTATGAGTCCCACAACTTGTATATCTCGGATTTTTCCCAAAGGTCATATGAGGTCAGGTCATTTTCGTGACCTCACCATTATAAGTCAATGGGGAAAAATGAAAACTGCTATTCTGGCGCCGGAAACGATCTCCAACTATCTCAAGCACACAGAATCGTGATTTTATGCACTCCTTGCAAGGTTAGATGCGTCACTTTTGCAATGTTGACCTTGCGTGACGTCATTTATGACGTCATCAAGGTCATATTAGTTTTTCGTCAATAACTCTTGATCAAATCGAGCTAGCGAGTCGGGAAAGCCACCAATGGACTCAGGAAGACCTGCCGAATCGAATGATATGCGACATGACCCCTTTCGACCAACTTCGTGACCTGGGGGTGCTGACCTGACCTTGACCTGAGGTCAACACCCCAAGTTGACCTGACCCGGACAAAAAGTATATCATTCGACGCGCCTGAGCGAGACGAACACGATGCTGCCAAAATCGGTGCTCTGCGGCCGTTTTTTGCGAAGTTATTCACCAAAAACTGAACCGTACCTTGGGGCACTTGACCTGACCTCAGAGGTCACCGGTTGACCTAGGACCTTAAAATCGGGTACCAATCTCTGCGTCTCGTAACGGCGCACACGCTCGTTTTTTCCGCGACGCGCTAGCTCCACCAGGGGCGAAACGGCGAGGGGGGTCGTACCCGCCCCCCCCCCCCCCCCTCGGCCGGCGAGTATGTAGAAAACCAATAGGTCCGGCGAGGGTTAAGTACCTGTAGGGAATTGATTGAAGTTTGTTGTGACAAATAAAAAAAAATCGGTTGGATTTTTTGAGATATCGAGGTTTTAGTGACGTCATGATTTCTGAGTTTTCGGCCAAAAACGGGATGTGTTCAAAAAATCATATAAAATCACAGAATAGACATACACCCAGCTAACAATTTGCCGTTGTTACAACGTCGTTTAAACGTTGTCAAATGGTTACCACAACGTCCCGATTTATCGTTGTGACAACGTAATTTTGTAGACTCCAGACAACGGCGTGACAACGTCATCCGACCATGCATTTGAATGTCATCACAACGTTTCTGTAACGTGGCCGTGACGTCCCAAAACTGTTCTTACAACGTCCCGCCAACGTTATGAAATGTTTTCCGTAACGTACCAACAGTGTTTCTGGAACGTTGTCACCACGTTTCCGCAACGTGACTACAATGAGTATAGAACGCTTTGGCAACGTCTCTGCGACGTTTTTATCACGTGCGCACCACGTTGTCGCTACTTCGTATTGCCGTCCCTGCGACCCTGAGTAAACGTCCTAAACATTTTCGCAACGCCCTCTCAACGTGTTCGCAACATACTCAGAATGTGTTTCCGACGCTCTCTTCCCGTTCTCTAGACTTGTAAAAAAGGCATGTAAGAAGTGTATATTTCAATACATCATACAGGTCAATTTACAAAAAAAAAAACGACGGCGGCGGCATCGGTGATGGGGCATGGGGCCCAGGGGTGCCCCCATGGGGGCGTGGGACGGAATTGGGTTCTACTGGCTCTGGCGCTAGCCGCTAGCACGCCAGAACTGGTGGAAGTTCACTTATTCACTAACCCTCGCTGGGAGGATCACTCGGCGGACCGTTAGGCACCGGCTCATTTGCGGCCTCGATGTCCCTAGGCAGCTGGCAGTGCCTGACTAGACGGTCTGCGCACCCCCCGTTCCGGTCGCAGCTTCCGGACAGCCACTTCGCTACCGCATTGCCGACAGTAGGCCTGCCACAAGGCGCGCTGACGAGTTGCAGGAAGTCTGCGGGAAGACATGAGGGAAAATCAGACATTCAATTCATGAAAAAATCACAAAAATACCTGCACCACTTTCCGTAACAGTTCAACAGGCTAGATCAAACATGTCAACACCTTAGAGGCTAGAGCTACAATGAACTATAGCCTAGACCGCACGATATTACAAGGCACAATCTTGCAAATGCTGCTCGTAAATGGTACTTTGACTTACCAGTCAAAGCAACAATCGCATCAAACGCAGACAACTGGCGCTATCTTTCATCTTTCAGCTATCTCAGCCGCGCCCGCCGCCGGCCCTCACTGCTCGCTCGCGCCGCGCAGACTGCGGCTCGGCCGGCTGGCTCTGAACGCCGGCCGGTGACACTGACGTCACGGCCCCTCAGGCGAGGTCAGGGCGCGAGCCACCGTTCGCCTGAGTGGCGGCCCGCGTGGCTGGCTGGCAGCCGCGGATAACAGCCGCGTTTACATAGATAGGGATAGTTGCAAGCCTCTAGCTCCGCCTGTGATGTTGCAAAACATGCCAATGACGCTTTGCAATTTACACATGTTATATAACGTTTATATATAAATATATATATATATAATAAATATAATAATAATATATATATATATATATAATAATAAATATTTATATATAAATATATATATATATATATATATATATATATATATATATATATATATATATATATATATATTAGAGAGAGATAGAGAGAGAAAGGTATCAGAATTTACTTGTAAAAACACCGCTAATTATTCAGTTCCTAAGGTTGTGAAAAACCGTTTTAACAACGTGTTGGCGACCACCAGCTGACAACATGAACAGTCGAAGTGTTAAAATATGTCAAATTTAACGATGAAAACTGAATTTGCGCATTGAAAGTCAAAGGAAATGCATTATATGGCCATATATGTCACCATGCATTATCAAAATATAATGGCTGCATGTGCGCGGTTGCTGCAACGTACCAATAAAACGTTGTCACGACGTTTTACCACGACTTTCGGACCAAACCATGGCTTCACAACGTTCAGAACGTTGCTACAACGTAATTAAAACGTAATTTCGCAACTTACCGAAACACGACGTTGTGACAACGTTGTAGTAACGTTTCCTGTTAGCTGGGCAGACATGCCGTAAACGCCATTAGACTCTCAATGCTATGAACAATCAAATGGCTATCTTCGACATTATAGTTCCGCATTTTCAAAAATCTTGAACTGAATCTTGGCAATTTCTCGTGACTACTTCACGACTATGATGCATGTATTTCTTAAATTAAACTTTTTAACCCTCGCCCTGGCAGGGGGGGGTCGATGCGACCCCCCCCTAAGGTTTTTCAAAGATAGCGTAAAAACGGC